CGTCGAGCAGGTTATCCGTTCGACCTGGTCGACCACCAAGTGCTCTGGTCGACCACCACTGCCTCTTGTCGACCACAACTCCTGTCCAGCTACCACCTGGTTGACCGACCCATTCCGTCGACCAAAACTGTCAGCGGTTGTTGGCGAGTTCCCCTTGTCGACCGCTGCTCACTTGTCAGGTCGACAGACTGCTCCGTCGATCTCCTGGTCAAACTGCAGGTCAACGGACTGCTCTGTTGACCTCCCAGTCGAACAGCACCTCCTGGTCGACAGCCCATTCGTCGCCCAGACAAGTCAGTTGCAGCTGTCGAGCTCCCTGGTCGACAGCAACACCACATCGGTCCCCTGCACCTCGACGAAGCTTGTCGAACAGCTCTCCCACAATGAGCGGTCGGCTGCTACTCCCGTACATCTGACCATGTCGTCAGCGTTCCCCAAGCGAGGGCAGGGCCAACACTCCATTCCCATTAAAACTCCCCTACCGCGCTCACGCTTAGGCCTCCAGCCCATACGGCAGTACTCCACGGAGAAAACTCGTTCTCCGCGTGCACCCCACACACAGCACGCCGTCACCGCACCAGCCGTGCAGAAGGGCACGTCACCTACTGTTGCGCATCATCGTCGCCGTCGCCGACGTCGGCCAGACAAACTTGGCCTATGGCGACAGAGCACCGGTTGAAAGCCGAAAATGCAGCGCCTTCGTCACGAAGTCAGCTGGCTGCTCGATGGTCGGGATGTACTCCAGCACGAACTTCCCGCGCCTCACAATGTGCTGCAGCCAGGCATAGCGTCGCTCCATGTGCTTGAGGTTGCCAATCAGCCCCAAGCCCCCAGCAACCGTGATTGCCGACTTGTTGTCCATACGGAGGACAGTCGGCTTCCTAGCATCGAGCTGCTTGAACTCTGCAAGGAAGAAGCGAATTTGTCGCCCCTCCTTGCTGGCGTCTGTGTACGCGACGTACTCCGATTCGGTCGAGGAGAGCGTCGCGCACTTGATGCGCTGGCTCGACCAGGAGACCGCGGCCCCTCCGAAGTCAAACATCTAGCCTCCCGTGCTCGTCTGGTTCTGCTTGTCGCTCGCATCGTCGGCGTCCACGTGGCCGATCAGCTCCGGCGATTATGGTCCACCGCCGAACTCCAGGGCGGTGTCGCGGGTATTAGCGAGATAGGCGAGGCAGCGGTCGACCTCGCGCCAATGCTGGTCGCTCCTCACTGTGAGGCCGCTCCCGAGCTTGCTGCATGCGAACGCAATGTCCAGCCTCATTGTCGTTGCCGCGAACTACAGCGAGCCAACCTTCTGCCGGTACTCCTCCTCCTCGCGCTCCTGCACCTCCTCTTCATCAAACATCAACTCAGCGTAGGCATCTACCGAGGCCGGCGTCTTCGGGACTCGCCTGCCCTGCTCCTCGTCGATGAAGCGCCTGCGCAGCTTGTCGGCGTAGCCCTGCTGGTGCGGCTACAGCTTCCTGGCCAACCTGTCGCACACGATCTCTAGCCCAAGGTACTCCACGACCGGCGAGATCTCACGCATGTCGAAGGCGGCCTCCGGTAGCTCCTTCAGCATCGCAGTGCTGGTGCTGGCGGCGAGCATGTCGTCGACGTAGACCAGCACCGAACATGTCACTCTGTCTTTGCCGACTTTCAAGTAGAGCGCCTCGTCGACCTGGCTCTTCTTCCAGCCAGCGCTCAGCAGCACACTGTCGAGAGCCCTGTACCACAGCAGCGGCGACTGCTTCAGCCCGTACAGGCTCTTCAGCAACTTACACACCCGGGTGGTCGCATCATTGAAGTAGTCCAGCTGGTACATGTAGAGCACCCTGTCGAGCTTGCTCTACAGGAAGGCTTTCTTCATGTGGAGCTGCATCAGGTTGAGGTCGAAGACGGCGACGATGCTGAGGAAGATCCTCAGTGTGACGTAGCTGCTTATCGGCGAGTACGTCTCACTAGCCTCGCCTTTTCGCACTCAATCGTGTTGTCGATGCTGTACTTGGTCGTCGACACCCACTAGTTCTTCATGATGTTCACCCCGCGTGGGCGTTCGATCGGCTCCCAAATGCCCATGCCGATGAGGCTGCGAATCTCTTCTTCCATGGCGGCCTTCGCCGCATCACCCTTCCAATTCGCCAACGCCTCCTTCATCGTCACCGTGGCGATGTCCCAGCGGTGTTCGGGGTCGGCATGAACGTCGGGGTCGAGCTTCGGCAGTTCTTCATCCTCCTTGGCCTCGTCGTACAGCAGGTCGTCATCGACCTCGTCGTACACCGTGGTGAAGGCAGGTGGCGGTAGGCAGGCGTGGAAGCTCAGCCGCTTAGGCGGTCGTTGAGCTCGACCTGTGCGTCGCAACTCAGGCTTCGTGATTGGCACCTCCACCACGTCGCTGTCGGTGGACTCCTCACCCGCCGACTGCCCCCCTTTCTCGTCGACGTCCTCGTCGTCGATGTCAACGGGAGTTGTTGTTGGCCCTGTCCTTGCTTGGGTAGAGCCGACCTCGTGTTTGGGTGTGCGGGAGGTGCAGCCGACCTGCAGCAGTGAGCGAGCTGGTCGATGGGACTGGTCGACCTGAACGGGGGCCACTGCAAGGGCACCGACTTTGGGAGGGCGCCGACTTCGGGTGGTTGACCTGGCAAGGTCGACATCGGAGGCTTCGACTTGGCGACGCCGAGCTGGGGATGCCGACGTAAGTAGTTGGCCGGCGGGTGTGCTGGTCGACCTGGAGCTGGTCGACCAGGTGCACGGTCGACCTGTTGTGGTCGACCAAGGGTGGTCGTCGACCTGGGTGGTTGACGGGTACAAGGAGGAGCTGGTCGACGAGGAGGTTGCCCTGTCGACCAGGTTACCCGGGCGATGGGGTTCTGCGGAGGCACGCGATGGTCGCCCAGGTGGTTTCTGCGAGGGCGACCTCGGTGGTGGTATCCCGAGGTCGACGTGGCTGGTGGGCGCAATCGCTGGCGTGGAGTCTGCTAGGCGTCTCGGTTGTGCTCGTGATGAGGAATGGCGCACCAACCAGCTGCACGCACATGCGAAGCAGATGCTTCGTTGTCCTACGGGTGCAACGCTGTGCAGCCGGCTTGCTGCAGCGTTGGCACACCGTGGACTTGCAACCTTGGCAAGCTGCGACTTTGCTCTGCTGGAGTGCGGCCGACCAAGTCGTGTTGGCACGTGGTCGACCGTGCTGCGCTGGAAGTCGACCATGATGTAGTCTTGTATGCCAATGTTGTTGCTATAATTCTGAATCATTGTTGTGAACTTTCCGTAGTGAAACTCTTGCCAATTCCCCCCGTGAACTTGCAAGTAGTGTGAACACAAGGAAACGACTAAGGAACAAACGAACACAAGAATCCCCCCTACCCGGTGCCTAGCTCGTAGTCTAGCTCCCGTTGATATAGTTATCTACGCAGTCGACCAGCTGCTTCGATACTTCGAGCGGCTGCTCACCACCTGCTGACTTCGATCGCTCCCCTTTTGACTGCCCCGACTGGTGCTCCCCTGTCGACTGCACCCCTGCTGCTGTCTCTTGTTCAACCGGCTCCCCCGTCTGCTGCTCCCTTGTCGTCGATGGCTTCCCATACTGGTCGACGAGCTTGGCGCCTTGTCAACCGCCGGTAATGCCACTGGCCGGTGCCGAAAGCGATGCCTCAAGGCCCCCTTCATCGCCGGTGGCTGACACAGGTGTCGACGCAGGCCGATCTACGACGAGGGAGGGAGGGGCAAGAACAGGTGGAGGAGGAAGAACCTCCACGACATCCTCATCAGCAGGCCCGTCGACCTCGGCGAGCAGTGGGACCGTCGCCGACGAGGTGTCAGTCGGCGAGTGTGCCGGCGTCCACACCTCCACCGACATCGTCTCGTAGAAGATCACCTCGACCGACGTGACCATCTTGTTGTCAGACAGGTCGAGCACCTCCTAGCCCTTATTCTCCGGCGACACACCCAGGTGAAGCCCCTAGCGAGCCTTCAGTGCAAGCTTCCCACCGCGCTGCTGCTCGGGAACGGTGAACTGCACCATGCAGCCCCACACCCGCGGCAGCGTGAGGTTGGGCTCCTTCCCCAACAGCTGGTACGGAGTCGTCCCCGGCGGTGTCGTCGACCGCTCCAAGCAGTTGCGCACCCAGACAGCATGTCGAAGAGTGAGGTGCCACACACCCATGTGCAGTAGCATTGTCCGCACGGACTCGACAATCGTGCGCATCTCCTGCTCAGCCATGCCGTTTTGCTGCGGAGTGTAAGGGCACGTCAAGTCATGGACGATGCTTTTCCCATTGACGAAGTTGGTGAACGCCTTCCCGAGGAACCCCCCTCCTCAGTCTGAGCGGAGCATCAATAATGGATGCAATCCGTATCCTCTACTGGTCGTATCTCGCTCCTTCCCCATCATGTCGGCCGTTACATGCTCATCCGCTTCATTCCCATTTGTCGTGCCCCTCGCTACCCCGCCGTGCTCCGCCATTCCCCGCCATACCCCACCATACCTCGCCAGATACCGCGCCATGCCCCGTGGTGCCTTGCCACACGCCATCGCCTGCCAGCGTCTCTGCAAAGCAACATGCTCAAATTCGCTCTTCTCCGCTTCGTGAATGCGCGTCATCTCTCGCCGCAATTCGCTTGAGCCGTCCTCCATATCTCCCCATCTCTCCTTGCTCCCCCACTCACCTCCTCTCAATCTCACCTCCTACCCTTGTCCCTCCCTGCCTTCGTGCGTGTTTCCTGCCACCCTGTGCACACTGCTGCCTCCGCGTTTCTGCTGTCGCTGCCCGACCGTGCCTACCATGCCTACCATGCCTACCATGCCTACCATGCCTACCGTGCCTACCGTGCCTATCGTGCCTACCATGCCTACCATGCCTACCATGCCTACCATGCCTACCGTGCCTACCGTGCCTACCGTGCCTACCATGCCTACCATGCCTACCATGCCTACCATGCCTACCATGCCTACCATGCCTACCATGCCTGCTGTGCCTGCCATACCTGCCGTGCCTGGAGTGCCTGGCGTGCCTGCCATGCCTGCCGTACCTGTCGTGCCTGCTGTGCCTGCTGTGCATGCCGTGCCTGCCATGCCTGCCGTGCCTGCCGTGCCTGCCGTGCCTGTCGTGCCTGCCGTACCTGCCGTGCCTGCTGTGCCTGCCGTGCTTGTCGTGCTTCCCGTGCCTGCCGTGCCTGCTGTGCCTGCCATGCCTGCCGTGCCTGTCATGCCTGCCGTGCCTGCCGTGCCTGCCATGCCTGCCATGCCTACCATGCTTGTTGCTGAGCAACGGCATCAGGCCCTGCACTTACCACTCGCCCACTTTCTCCCCCCTCTCTCCCCTCTCTGCCCTCTCTCCCTCTCTCCCCTCTCTTTCCCCTCTCCATGGCCTTCCAATCTTTCCCCCTCCTCCACCTATCCCTTTTCCCGCCCCTCTCAGCCACCCAGTGCCACAGAATTCTCGCAGCGGGGCCTGCCATGGTGGAATGGACGTTGGGGCAGCAACTAGGGAGGAGCGCAGGGGCGGAGAGGAAGAGGAAGCGGGGGAGGGAGACGGAGCGCGGGAGGGGGAGCACGTGGGAGGAGCAGGGATAGGAGCGACAAGCCATTGTGTCTGAAAGTGACGTCGCACGATTCAATTCGCTGGTTCTGCGTCTTGCTGATGTTTTCAGCAGCAGCAGCAGCGCCACCCGCCTCTGCATTCTCAAGCTCTTCCTCCTCCACCTCACCACTGCTGCCTCTCCCCTCCCTCCCTCTCCTCCCGCTCCTCCCCGTCCTGGTCCTCCCTCTCCTGCATCTCAACATGCCACGTCAGCTGCACCCGCTACCCCCTCACTCACACCTGCCGCCCTGAGAACGCCTCTCGGTGCTGGGAGGTGTGACGCGGATGGTGACGCCATGCCTGACGACAGCAACATGTGTGACGTTAGCCTGCTGCAGTGGCGATGGAGGAGGGAGGGAGAGCAAGTGAGGGATGTGTGGAGGGGAGGGAGAAGAAGGGGAAATAGAGTGACCACCATGAGGGAAGGAGAGAGAGAAAGTGGGGGGTGTGATGGGAGAACGAGGAGGCAAGGAGAGGAAGGTGGGGATGGCGCCTATGGGGAGGCAGAGAAGAGTGTTTTCAATGATAGGCGTGCTGCAGACATTGATGGTGATGATGGTGGAGGGAATAGCGCTAGCAGCAATGATGGCAGTGAGAGTGCTGGCAAGTGATGGTGATAGCGATAGTGGCGATCGTGCTGGCAGTGATGGTGGTGCTGGCGGTGGCAGTGACTGGGCAGGCGTGTTGACTACTCGGAAGCTCTTGAACCCAACCCAAGTCATCACCCGCATCGCCCCTCTACTCTCTCGCTCCTCCTTTCCACTCCCACCCACTGCAGCAGCAGCCACAGTCACAGCCACAGCAGGCGCAGTAGCAGCAATGCAAAGTGACTCCCCTTCGCCCCCATCGTCACTTGCTGCTGGTGCTCTTAACTCCATTGACTCGCTTGAAGCCCACTGTCTCGCGCTGCGCCTGATTGGCTGCCTCGCTTTGCTGGTTGCTGACGTGGCACACGTGCAGGAGTTGGTCGTGCAGGCGGCAATGGAAGCCGAGGGACAGCAGGAGGTGAGAGAGGGGAGCGGGGGGAAGGGGAGAAAGAGGGGGATAAGGGGGAATAGGAGGTGAGGTGGGTGGTGCGTTTAGGTTTGCATGTGTGTGTGCATGTGTGCGTGCATGCGTGTGTGCGTGTGTTGTGTATCTGGTGGAGAAAAAGGGGTAAGGAGGGGGGTGGTTGGGTGGGTGGAGGGGGGAAAAGAAAGGTGGTGGTTGGGTGGATGTGTGGGTGAATGGGTGTGCGTGCGTGAGTTCGTGCGTGGTTGTGTGTGCGTGCGTGTGTGAATGGGTCTTCCCATCCCAAACCCCACGCACCTCTCTTTGCTTCCACACTCTTTCGTGTTGTCTACGCTTTTTCCTCAATCCCCTTTCTTCAACCTCCCCAACCCTTCCCTCCCACCAACCCCTTCCCCATCCTCAACCCCCACCCACCAATCTAGCAACGCCATGCAGCTCTCTTCGCGCTCACCTTCCTCTGTGACGTCTCTCCTCCCTTCGCCCTTCACACTCTCCTCCTCCTCTCCCTCGCTCTCCCTACCTCCCCACCGCCACCCCTGCCCCTCTCCCTCAAATGCCATCTGCACCGTCCTTCACACCCATGTCTCTCGTGCCAAACCAAGCAGCCTAGAGTGAGAGGAAACGCACACAGGAGTCAAGCAGAGGCGGACGAGCATATGGCGGGGAAGCGGCCGCAGCAACAGCGTGATGACTCGCCAGTTGCCCATGCACCGTTGCACCCATACTCGTTCGCCCACTCCCTGTCTCCACCATACACACTGCCACCACTGGCCCTACACGCGCCTCTTCTCACATCCTCCTCCCACATGCCACGTGTCACCCACCCATTGGCCTGGTGGAGGGGGCGTGAGGAGGGGAAGGAGGGGGTGCGGATTCGAGTGGCAGCAGTGGTGGTGAAATGCCTGGCGGGGCATGAGGAGAGGGCTGTGAGGCGCGTGGCGTGACAGGTGAGGAGAGGGATGGGAGGGGGAGCAGGGGGGTGGATGGGAGGGGGAGCAGGGGTAGCACTTAGGTGAAAAGGGAAGTAGTGGTGGTGAAGCGCTTGGTGGGTTATGTGAGCGCTATGAGGTGTGTGGCATGGCAGGTCAGAAAGGGATGGGAGGGAGAAGTGGGAGCAGTTGGGTGAGAAGGTGACTTGGTGGGGCATGGTCACAGTAGTAGGAGAAGAGGGGTGAGGTAGGCACATGAGGCAGATGAGGCAGGTGAGGGGAGTAGGGGGATGCACAGCAGCAGCGGTGGTAAGAAGGGCATCAACGGTGTCCGATTGAGTGCTTGATTGGACCATGTGAAGCGTGCAATGTCTCTGATTGGACTACATGAAGTGTGCAACGTATCTGATTGGACCACAGATAATGTGAACTGTGCTTGATGGGACCAGACTGCTCATAACCCCAAGCGTGCATTGTGTGGTGGAGGATGGTAAGGAACCTTGAATGACATGTGTGGTGAGCTGGTTTATGAGAATCTCCAAATCTACTTTGAATGGCATGCGTGGTGATGGATGCGTAATGTGCTCGCATTCTTCTTTCCTCGCCCCGTGTCACCTCCCCTGCTCCTCTTTTCTCCCAGGTGGCAGTCTGCTTACTCCTTGCCTTCCCCTGTGCCCCGTGGTCCCCACAACTGCGATTGTAGGTGTGCGCGATGCAAGCACAGCTTGGCTGATCACTCACTCGTTGCTGTGCCATCATGTTTAAGCATACTCTACTCATGCTCCCACGTGCGATCACTCTCATGCTCCCACGTGCAATCACTCTCATGCTCCCACATGCATTCACTTTCATACTCCACGTGCATTCATTCTCATACTCCCGCGTGCATTCACTTTCATGCTCCCACGTGCAATCACACACATACTCTCACGTGCCATCGCATGCATTCATAAGGTCATGTGCATTCACACTATCGTGTGCATTCACACTCATGCTCTCGCCTGTGTCCACACTCAGTCACACTATTAGTGCATTTGCACTCAAACTCTCACGTGCTTTGCTTTCTTACTCACACTCACATGCAATCTCCTGTAATCTCACATGCACTCAGAACCACGCCCTCACCCTCTCATTGACATAATCTCATGTGGTCTCACAGCGGTTGTATGCATGTCAGCATGTACGGTATGCTCACATGCGTACAAGCATGGAGCTACCTCGTCCAACAGCATGCCAAGCATGGTTATGTGTCCATGTCATGTCTTTCCTTGTCATACGAAGGGGAAAATAAGATTGCATGTACGAATTTTAGTGGTACTGTATCATCAGTTTTGCTGTAAATGGTTCTATGATGCCTAAAAGCAACATCTTCTCGATCAGAATGAAATCTCAAGAGCTCCCTTCCATTTTCATGCCTTCAAATACCTTTTTTTAATGTGACTACCACAAAGTATCAGACGAGTGCAACAAGGATACGTACAAGGATACGTGAAATGAACTGGTGTGTTTGTGCAGATTCGCAGATTCGCCATGATTCGACTGGAGAGCTATGGATAAACTTCTAAAATCCGGCGGCACAGACTTGGTTCGTTGGGTGCAATCTCCAAGCTCAGTCAAGAAGACAAACATATCAACAGTGTTTTTTTCTATACGCTATTAGAAGTTACTTTTTGGCTTCACTAACTGCGGGATTCTAATGGAAAATGCAGTACCTAAACTACAGTACAACATGGTTTAGTTGTGCAACGATAAGCTACAACAGCTCCAGCCACCATCTTCAGATACCGGTTATCGCCTCTCACTATCGTACGGTAGGTCTCGTTGTGGCATTCCCGCGTTAACGCGGCATCTGCGCGCTCACACAACCTGGATAATCGTGTCCTTCGCAATCGGGTCCTCGCAACAACGACCATTGTTGAGGGCCGCCAATCGGAACTGCGTACCCGCGTAGTATCGCTTCAGCAAGCAGCTCATGCATGTGACCTAAACCTCAACATGCACTTTAAAGGGACAGAAACTACCGTACTGGTAATCACCCGGACATAACACCCGCCAAAATTGTACACCCTCCAGGTGGCTTGTGCGGGGTGGGTGTTATAGGCGACCTCAGTTGTATTATACCCCCTTTTTTGGCTGATATTCTATAACACCCCCCTTTCTTACAAAAATTCTTTTTCCTGCTGTTAACGAGTAGGTGCAATTAAGGGAAAACATCGCGGAAATCACTTCCTCGATAAGATTACATGGTAATTTCAAAAGAATCTGCCGGAATCACCTCCCTCCCACTTTTTTCGCTGTTGCCGGGCTGATAGATCGTTCACTAACAAGTGGCCAAAGAGGTGCCACATGGCAATTTTAAGGGGGTGAGTAATTGGCGCCGAAACTTGCATTTTCGCCTCTGCCGAAACCAACTTTGACAACACCCACGTTGTCCATTTATCAAAATCCTTATACTAAAAAATGTCATATGAATAGACCCGGGTGGTGTGTAGCCTTTTCCGATGAGAAGAAGCCCCCATTTTTTTCCTGTATTTATCATAATACCCTAGAGTGTTATGTCCAGGAGAAAACGGTAATCGCCATAATGGATTGGTCCAATTAGAACCTTACCAAGGTGGCGGAGTGGGGAGGCACGAGTGGACTATATGTTTCACAGAGCACTCACAAACACGAGCTCAGAGATGGGTGCGGCGGAGCGAGGGCGTGGGGCGAGGGGCAGCAGCGGGGCGGCGAGGACGAGCTACTCACCGTCATGCAATCGTCTGGCTCCGCGCATGTGGGATGGCTCCGTGCAGATGGGATGGCTCCGTGCAGGTGGGATGGCTCCGTGCAGGTGGGATGGCTCCGTGCAGGTGGGATGGCTCTGTGCAGGTGGGATGGCTCCGCGCAGGTGGGATGGCTCCGTGCAGGTGGGATGGCTCCGCGCAGGTGGGATGGCTCCACGCAGGTGGGATGGCTCCGCGCAGGTGGATGGCTCCGCGCAGGTGGGATGGCTCCGCGCAGGTGGGATGGCTCCATGCAAATGAGATGGGTCCAAGCAGGTGAGATGGGTCCGTGCAGGTGAGATGCGGTGGGATGGGATGGGATGGGACCTGTGCAAGTGGGCTAGCTGGGCTGGGTGCGTGTGAGTGAGTGGACTGGGGGGGTCGTGAGGCTCGTCGAGGCATTGCTACATGCGCCTACCAGGTTTGAAAGCCGAAGGTATAGCAATCCAATGAAATGGCGCTTTCTCGCCTTCTTGTTCTCTCCAACCCATTTCCCCCCTTGCTATTAACATCCTCTCCCACCCCTCTCTCCCACCGCTCCCTCTCTCACTTTGGTGGTGGATGTCGACCTTCTCACCGCTGCTGCTGCTGCTGCTGCTTGCATCAACACCAGGTGCTGCCCCCGCTGCGGCCCCCCCACCCACTGCCCCGCTGCTCCACCGCCCATGTCAATCAAGCCTCTCTACCCGCCCTTACTGCCTCGCTAACGTGCTTTTCGTCCTGGCAAGTCTACTGTCGAACCAACGCTTCTGTGCTTCTTACCTGAACCGTGCCTGCATTCCATTCGCCTATCACCATTGCTTCGCCCTTAACAGTGCCCCACTCATCAGCTTCCCCGCACATGCCCCTCCCATCACATCATATGCCCCTCGAATGCCCACCCCTCACATGCCCCCTCCTCCCCTCACATGCTCCTCACATGCCCCTCCCTCCCCTCACATGCCCCTCCGCTCACATGCCCCTCACATGCCCCTCACCTCATGTGCCGCTCGACTCGGCCCCATCATCTTCCATCATCCATGTCATCTCCCCAACCCCCTCGTCCCTCTCACCCCACCCCAGCATCTCCACTCCACCAACCCCTCTCAACCCCTCTCTCCCACTCCCCCTCCCTCCCCCTGTCACATCCCCCCTTTCCCCCCACAGGCCCGCTGCAGCCCCTACCGCCTGCCCATCAGCCACAGCCCCTGCAGCTTCACCCTCAACCGCAGCCACAGCAGCAGCAGCAGCAGACACCAGCAGTAGCGGCAGCAGCGTGGCCGGCGCGGGTGGGCTTGCTGTCGCGTGTGCAGTGTGTTTATGAGGCGGCAGGTGCTCCCCCATCCCGACGCCCACGCCCTGCGCAAGGAAGGTGAGCTTGAGATAGATGGGTCCAAGGAAGGTGCAAGGAAGGTGAGTCCAAGAAAAGTACGACGAGGAAGGCGAGTCAGAGAAAATTACGAGGAAGGTGCATGTGTGGAACGTGACATGGCATCCGAGCTGTTGACTCAATGTGCGAGCCACTTGCTCCTCTCCCTCTTCCTTCCGTTTCTTGCCCTCTGAGTTCTTCCCTCATGCTTCTGTTCATTGTGCTAGCCGTTCCCTTTGTTGCCTGTGTGGGAGAGTATGTCTCTCTCTCATGTGTGCCGCGCTCAATCATTCGGCCCCCAATGCTTGCTTCTGTCGTCCGTCCCCTGCTATCGTCAACGCTGACCTGTGAGGAGTTGGCATATCCGACCAACTCTAAGTGCGATGATACTGACATCCCCCGCAAATGCCTCTACAATGAGGGGTTCAAGATGAGCGACAAGTACTACATTCGTAAGCCGATTGCTCCTCTCCCTCTCCCTTCTCTCCGTCGTCCTTCTCAACCTCATGGTTCTTTCCCCATGCACCAGTTCATTACACTAACTATTTTACTTGTTGCCTGTGTGGGAGAGTATGCCTCTCATGTGTGCCGCTCTCAATCATTCGGCCACCAAACCCTGATTCTTGCACCAGGCTTGTTCCTCCCATGCTAAGTGCAGCGCTAACCTGTGAGGACTTGGCGTGTCCGCCCCACTCTTCCTACAATGATAAGGACAACCCTCCCCAACGCAGCTGCAATGAAGGGTTCAAGATGGAGAAGAAGCAGTGCATTCGTAAGCAACTCCCCCCCTCTGCTCCTCCTCGTCCCTCTCCCCCCCTCAGTCAGCCGCGTGTTTGGCAGGGGAGACATCAAGATAGTGAAGCGGCGCGACCTGGCGGAGGTGGGGGGGCGGGTGGGCGAGGAGAAGCATTTGTGAGCTCAAGCACAGCGATGTCAACGGGAGTTGTTGTTAGGCCCCGTCCTCGCTTGGGCGGAGCTGTTCTTGTGGTCGGGTGTATGGAGAACTGCAGCCGACCTGCAGCAGTGGGCGGACTGGTCGGTGAGGAGGCCGACTTGCGCGGGGGCCACTGCGATGGGCGTCGACTTCTGGGCGCCTAATTTGGGGTGGTCGACTAGGAGGTCGACCGAACCTGGTGGTCGATGAAGGAGGGGCCGACGTCGACCTCGATAGGGAAGGCTGGGGACTTCGAGCTGGAGGGCGTCGAGTAGCAGGATGCCAAGCAGCTGTGCGTCGAGCAGCAGG